GGGGAGAGGGAGGTCTGGGCCTCCCTTCTGAAGCTGCTGCCCCCGCGACCCGACCCCGGATAGGCGGAAGAAAATGGATGGATGGATGGATGGATATTTATGAGTATTGCATGTTTAGTGTCTTTGTATACTTGACATATTGTGTGTGTACTTTGATAGCTGTGTTTTTTATTGTGTCAGCTTATTCTTTAAAAGCTCAGGCATTGCTCCTTGTTTTGTTTCTGTTTTGTCTGTGGGAAAATGTAATAAAATGCAAACGTAATTGTTATATAGCACTTCCTGAATGCCCAGTGAGTTGATTCACCAAGTGTGTGTACGATACGTGAAATGGGCGGGGCTGCGTGTGTGTGAATGAAAAGAATTCAAGACAGAAGGATGAGAAATCAGAACAGAAGAGAAGAAGATTTTGTGTGTATGCGTATGTGTTTTTGGCAGTAAATCAGTATGCTAATGAGGCATGGTCTGTAATCCTCTTAAAGCTAATCTCACTCAATTCCTCCAGTCCAGGCCTGGGCACTGCTCATACACACTGGCATGCCTCAGTGAGCACAACACACAAATGCTCAAAAAAATTCACTTTTTTTTGCACATTTATATATACAATCAGTTTCACAGAGAGATTAAAAAATGATTTAAATAGAAATGCTCGTAAGATCCAGTGTTGTGTGACCGAATATTCATTATGTCTTAGCATTCATAGCAAAGTTTGAATCATAGTGAGACTTGTGCGCCAATATCTTCTTGGCTCATCTCTACTCTGATTCCTGATTGTGTTATAAAGGCCAAGGTGAATGTTGCTATTCTCAGTCAGAGGCTGCTGGTCGGCTGCCCAAATACTCATTATCTGGCCATGTCAGAAATAGTTGTGTGTGAAAGCTAGACATGTATATATGATGTAATGCTCAGTTATTTTTTTTGTAAAGCAACATCACATGTGGTTAGTATATCTTTGGGATACAATAGTGATTCAGGTTTTTCTAGTCCAGGGGTGTTTAAACTCATTTTCAAGGGACACATAAGTGTTATGATTGACCTCAAAGGGCAATCATAACTTTAATTACCTTTCTGGTTTTGTGTTTAACTTCAACTAAACAGGAAACATCCCATTCCATGTCTCATTGCTACAGCTGAGCACTGCTAACAAACCAAAACTGAGCTCTACATGGTATTTCCTGTATAAAAACAGTGTGTAACACGTCCTTATATACTGAAAGTACTACATTTATGACTGACTTAATGTGAAATAAATAATACAGAAATAATATTAAAAGTAAGAATGTTTTACTCACTGTTAAGTTGCCGTAAGTAGCTGCTGTATTGAAATCTGAACTCTCCCACTTGTTTCCTATAGAGAAATCCCTTGCACAATCGACAAGCATTATGGGAGAATGTATAGTGAAGTTCAATGCTGGCTTTAAAACAGCTTATTTTGAGACATCAATATAAGGCTGTTCAACTTACCGAAATTGCTCAGGTGGACCACAGTAACTCAAAGCCACCAGCTCAGGGGCCAGACAAGTATTATTTTTTACTTTTACGTTAAATTTATTTTATTTTGTTGCATTGATTCAATAAGAAATCTATTTTCATACAAAATTTAGTATAAAAGAAATAATCTTGGCGGGCCAGACAAAAGTATCCCACGGGCTACATTTGGCACACAGGCCTTGAGTTTGACACTAAGATATTGTACCTGTGCGTTTATGCAAACCTCAGCACAGCACTTTGCATTTGACAGCGCACTCAAAAAGAATGTTCAGGATGGGCATGTTTGCTTGAACCTGAGAGGACAGCTTTGTGGTTAAAAGGGTGTGTGTGTGTGTGTGTGTGTGTGTGTGTGTGTGTGTGTGTGTGTGTGTGTG